GCGGGCCGGGGCGCTCACCCGCGCGGCCACGCAGTCCCGCCACCCGGCCCCACCCCGAGCCCGGGCTCTGTCCAAGGTGCTGCCGGCCCGGGACGTTCGGGACGATCAGGTCTCTAAAGCAGGTGCGCCCCCAGCCGCCGGGGTGACCTCTCCGAGTCTGCTCCCCGGACGCCGAGCAAGGCGCGCGGCGCCTACGGGTGTGGCTCAGGCGCCCGGCGCCCTCAGGCCCTGCCCTTCGGCCAGATTCACCCAATCTTCGCTCACGAGGCACACCTCCGCCCCCGCCCCCAGACAGGCCCGAAAAACGGGGAGAGGGGCTGCAGGAGGCGGGGGAGAACGGTGCGTCTCCGCCCCAGGCCGCCCCAAGCCCCGCCCGCGAAGTCCTCGCCGCCGCTTAGCCCCTCCCGCCGCCCGCCCACTTCCCCGTCCCGGGACCCCACCCACGTGCTCCCGCCCCCGCAGCTCCTCGGCGCCCAGCAGTCCGCGCATCCCCCGCATGGGCCCAGTCGCGGCCCCAGCACCCTAGTCAACACCGCCCCTCCCATCACGGAAGAGCCAGCCGAGTCTAGTAGCAAAATAGGTCTTTTATTCAGGTGATGCCTGGCCTTGGACCGCGTGGGTTGGCCTCTCCCACTTGGCCGCAGGCGGCAGTCCAGGACCCCCCAAGAGGGTTTCAAAGGCCCCTAAAGTCGAAGACGCCATGTCAGGGTCTAAGAGGAGGGGAACCGGGGTCCTCTTGCCCTTTGGCCTTGGCTTTCAGGATTCTGAGGATCAAGTCAAGGTCCCAGTCACAGCACCGGATGCACCTGTCCGTGGGCTGGCCTCCGAGAGGTGACCAGAGGCCAAGCTGCCCGTTGTGGGGCGGAGGGCCAAGGCTGAGTGCGACTTAGCTCTCAGGTGTCCATCCTGCTGGCGCAGGGTCCAGTGAACCCTGGGGTTCCCGAATCAGAGAGCAGAGATGAGGGAGCGCAGGGAACTCTGGCTGGAGGCGCTCAGAGGCCGGTAACTTGCCGCTAGACCCTCAGCCTGGGGATCCCCGGGGGGGCAGGGCACGGCCACCCCTCGAGGCCGGCGGTACCACACAGCCCAGCTTCTCCCAGGACCCCGGGAAGGCCCCAACGCCGGGGGCCCTTTTCTTGGAGCCAGCAGACAGCTCCTAAAGAGGGAGCAGACGTCAGCCAACCCCCAACCGACCTCACCTCAGAACCTTGCTTCACCTGAGGCCCCACGCGCGACACCCTGTACGACTCTAGGCCTCACCCCTCAAGAACCCGGGAGTTCCTCCCAGCCCTGCCCCCTCGTGGGCCCCAACTTCCCACCAGGGTCCCCGGGGCCCAGAGGCGGCAGGCGCCCGGCGGGGTCCCCCTCAGGCCCTGCCCCAGCGCGCGCACCGTCGGCGCAGCAGGCGCAGCAGCGACAGCAGCAGCAGCAGCAGCACTGACACGGCCGTCACCGTCGAGAAGACGCGAGCTGCGGACACACCGTGCAGTGAGAACAGGGCTGGCGAGGAGGTGCTCCCCAAGCTGCCTCCCGCTGGCGCCCGCCTCACCCCCCATCGCGGCCTCCGGAGCCCCTGGCCGGGGACTGCAGCTCGCGTTGGCCCCGTCGCGGGGCGCGTCCGGGGTGTGGGCCGAGCCCTTGGGAGGCGCCCGGTCTTCGGCGGCGGTCTGCAGCCCTGCGGAGAGCGGGGTGAGACCCGTGGCGGGGGCGCCGGCCCAGGGGCG